CCCTGCCCCGGGACTGCGGGCTGCGGCCTCCGGGGGCTTGGGGGGAGCGGGGGGGCCCCGCTGAACGCCCAGCCGCGGGGCGGGGCCTTTGGTCCCGTCCCATGTCCTCTGGGGGTCCGAGGGGCCCGTCCTGCGCTGTGCCGGGGGCAGCGCCTGGCTGGCTGGGAGGGCCCGGCCCGGTGATGCTCTGGAGCCAAAACCTGCTTTTGTGCTGAAACTTGATTTTGCACATTCGGTCTCTTTTCTGCTGGGTGCCTGGCGAGGCGCGGAAGGGCAGCGGGAGTACCCTCCGGCTGCTCTCTCACCGTGACAGACTCACTTCCCCAGGGACGAGCAGCCAGAGCGTGGCCACGTGTGCCCCGAGCTCCCTGGAGGGGCTGCTGACCACGGGCGGGTAGGCACCGGGTGGGCTCCCTTTTGGCTCCCGCTCAAAGGCAATGGCTCCACAGAGGCCTTGGTTTCACAGCATGACCTCTTACCATTGCTCTCCTGACTTCCAACGTCCCCAGGCAGGAGCAGTTGCAGGGCTGGTGGGTATGGGTGGCACGGGCAGGAGGCAGAGCTGCCCTTCCTGCTGGGGACATGGAGGGAACGACGCTGCTGGAGCCAGAGCATCCGTGGCTTTGTAGCTCCCAGGCTCGGCCACATCAGTCAGAGGCAGCACAGGCTCCATGGATGGTGGGAGGCAGAAAAAGTGATTTACCCTAATGTGGCCCTGGAGATGGGAGGGAAGGCTTCAGTTTCAACTTCGGCTTCAGCTTTGGCTTCAGCTCTGGCTTGGGCTTCCCCGTCCCGCGCAGCACAGCAGAGCAGCTGGTGCTTCGTGGCAGAAACAAAGTGTGTAGGCAGACGTTGCCCTGGGCCACCAGAAAGAGCAGTTGTCCTGCTGCTGTCCAGAGGATGCCAGCTCCTCTGGGGCTGAGGTCTCTTTCCTGTTAGACTTTGGGAAGAGGAGATAACCCAGCCTGCATGGTGTCCTAGGCCTGGGGCTGCTGCTTTCTCTGCCTGAGCAGAGTTCTCACAGGGTGCTGAGTGCCACCTCAGTTAAACCTCAACTGCAGCCTTCTTCATCGGAGGATGAGGCCTGTCTGAGTCACCAGGGAGGAGACCAGGGGACTGGCATCTTCCCTTGAGCCTTGGAGGACTGTGGGGACAAAGCAGCAGAGGTGAGGTGACAGCCCTTTTTCCCCTCCAGGCAGGGCACATTGCACCCCATGATTCCCAGGGCCAGGAGGGAGCTGCGGGGCAGGTGTCTCAGCTGGAGGCTGCTGGTCAGGAATAGCCCCCTCCAGAAACACCCCCCTCCCCATAGACGTTCAGGGAGCAGAGGCCCCCTCACCTTTGCTAGAGGGGGAGCTCCATGCCAGAGTCTTCCTCCTCCCTGCTACCCTCACTCACCCTCTCTGATGTACTCTATCTGTTTGTGCTCATCTGATGAGCCCTGGTGGGACGCTGCATGTTGGGGACCCCACTGCCCATCGGGGACCCCGCCACCCAGCCTGCCTGGCTGTACAGCTCCCTGTGAAGGGCTGACCCTGGGGTGCGGGATCGGGGGGGGGATGGATGAGCCTCCTGTCAGCCCCACCTGCACAGGGAGGGGTGGGAGGGGGTGAAGGGGTGCCCCACAGGTCCTGTGCCAGGACACAGGGACGCTGGGAGAGGGAGGGACCCCGGGGCTCATAGCTCACCGACAAACCTGCCTGCTTCCAGCCGCAGGGGCTCCTGCAGGCTCTGCAGGTAGGGCTGGCTCTGGTGCAGGTAGTCGTTGGCCCTGCCCCTGTTCCTAGCCAGCTAGAGGGAAGAGAATGGCGCAGGGTTGGCACAGAGCTGACCCCAGTCACGTCGTCCTCCCACCAAGGGCCACCCTTCTTCCCCCCAGCAGGACATTCCCAGCTCCCTGACATGTGGCATTGGGGTTCGGAGGGAGCAGAAGGCTTCCTGGGGACACTGGGGTGCCATTCTGGTGGCATGGTCCCCTTTGGGACCCCAGGGGCAAGGACAGCCTGGAGCAGAGCCTGCTCTGGGAGGGTGTGTGCAGTCACAGAGGCACAGCCCTCCATCCCCACCACCGAGCACAGGGCAGGACTCTCCCAGGCAGATCCCGGGGGATCTGGGGCTGTGCTGACCAGGTACTTGCTGATCCTCCACGCCTGCGCAGTCTCGGCCGGCTGTGCCAGCTGCTCCCACATCAGGAACTGGCCAGTGCTGCAGAGGGCTTCCAGGGAGGCCTGGTGAGCAGCAGAGATGCTACCACCACCACCAGGGCAGAGGGCTCTGTGTCCTCCCATCTTGGCCAGGCTCAGAGCCTGTCCTGGCCCATGCAGGGAAGACAGACCAGCTGGGGACTGATGCTGCCACCAGGTTCAGCACCCCAGGGGAAGATAAGGGCAGCCACCCATTCTGGCTGGAAGCCTGTAGGACTTCAACATTTTGGCCTTGGTGGCCCTAGGATGCTGCGGAGCTGTAGCCCAGTCTCTGGGCTGCAGGGACCCATGCCAGGTGCTGTGCAGAGGGACCTGCGCAGAGGCCCCCTCCATCTGGGAGCAGGAGGAGAAAGGGGGTGGTGGGCAGGGAGGGGGGCTCTGCCTGTTCCCAAGGTCTCAGCAAACTAGACCTGTCCTGGTCATGTAGGTGAAGAAGCAGCGGCAGCAGGCTGTCTCACACCTCCTTCTTCTTCTTCAGTACCCAACTTCTTCTCTTCTTCTTCAGTACCCAACTTCTTCAGTACCCATCTTCTCTTCAGTACCCAACACAAGCCCCATCACTTTTTGGAAGAGATGGATGGAAAGCTCCTGCACGGTGTCCGATTCCTGTGGGAGGAGGGGAGGAGGACCTCAGCCCCAAGCCCATGGTAATCAAGGCGTTGATGTAGAGATGGACATCCCCAAAAATAATTTTCTGGTGCAGCTGGTTTGTGAAAGCTGCTATGCCTGCCTCACTTGCCAGCAGTCCTGGAGCTGCAGCTGCCCTGTGCCATGCAGCCACATGGAGGACAAAATCTGGGGGGCTCAGAGAGAGGGTGCAAAGCTGGAGATGCATTAGACAGAAAAGTTGCTGGCAAAGAAATAGGGCACCCAGACGGGCCCAGGGAGCAGATACTCAGGGAGGGTCCAGGGCTATTGTGAGCAAGGGCGAGGGGAAATGGCTTTTCAGACTGCAGGCAGACAGGGTGGATCAGGCTTTTTCTTGCAAAAGAGAGTGGCCCCTAGTTGAGTCCCAGACTTTCGCATCAGCAGCCCCTGGCTGCCCATGCCTGGGGGCACCCAGGCTGACACAACTTCTCTTACTTCTCTGCTGCAGGACGAAGGCATGCAGGTGACAGTTTCTGTAGCCTCGTTGCAGGTCCCCTTGTCTTTGCAGGTGCAGCAGAGGGTAAGGTGCCCCACCAGCCTCCCCAGCATTGTAAACTTACCTGTTTTGGAGCACTGGTGAACTGTGGTGTGTGCAAAGCAGGGGCAGACCTGGAGGAAGAGAGGCAGGGTGGGCACAAGTAAGTCCCAGCTGTTCCCAGAGCAGCCTGGCAGCAGCTCAGAGCAGGGCAGGGCTACCCTGCCCTGGGAGAGGGCACAGACAGGACAGGGGCAGGGCAAAGACCCCTGCTCCCAAACTCCTGCTGACTGGGTTCCTGGCTTCCCTGGGAGGTGCTGGGACTTAGGGGCACAGGGAAAGGGCACTGGGGCTGCCCAAACTGGGAGCTCAGTACCTGCAGCAGGGGGTAGGTGGTGATGGAGTTGACCGGCCTGGCAATCTGTGCCACGGCCCTCTCTTGCACTGCTGCCAGCTGGGAATTGGTGAAGGGCAGCAGGAGCTGGGAGGGGAAAAGCTGCTGGTGTGCCAGGGAGGTGGCATGGCACAGCACTGAATGGCCGGGCTTGCCCTGGGGCAGTGCCTGGCATGGGCCATGTGTCCTTCTTGCCCCTCGCAGAGACATGCTGCAGGCAGGCAGGTCACCGCATCCTGCTCTTCTTGCTGCTTTTGCTGCCTTCCACTCACTCCCCCCAAAAAATATCCCTCCACCTCTCACCCAAGAACCCCAAGGCTTTGGGGTGATCCCCTTCCTGAGGGCTTGAGGTGGGGGTCCTGGGATATGGCCTGTGGTGAAGCCAGAGGGGGAAGGGCCCAGGGCTGGGCTCCCTTTGCCAGACAGGCAGATCCATCTGGGAGGGAGTGTTGGGCAGGACAGGCAGCAGGCAAGGCTTCAGGGGTGGGGTAGGCTGGGACAGGAGGAGAAGGGGCTCTGGCAGCAGTTGGAAGTCAGGGGGCCAGGGAGGGGGCATGGTGGGGAAGGAGGGGTGTTCGCCACCCCCCTGTGCACCAGGTGCTGGGGGGGGCCACTACCGTGGGGACTCTCTGCCAAGGCCAGAGCTGCAAGGTGCTGGTGCTGTGTACCAGCATCTGCAGCATGCTGTCCATTGCAGCCAGGGTCTGAGTGGAATAGAGTCTTGGGGGAAGCCTGGAAGCCTGGGGGGGAGCAGCTGTGGCCTTGTGGTGCCCAGGAGGGGACCTCGACATGGGGGAGCTACCCGTGAGTCACCCCATGGCATATCTTAGAGGAAAGCCTTGAGGCCCTGGGTGTCCTCCTGCGGAGGCAGGTGGAAGGTGCTGCAGAAGCAGGCATGGAGGAGACCACTCTTCTGCAGAAGCAGGCCCGTTCTGCTACGGGGACAAAGAGGTGTTCTTGGGACTGAGCAAGAAGGATGCAGAGCCTGGAATTGGAGACCTGGGTTGATCCCCACACTGCAGGGGACATCTCAACCTCCATGACACTGACACTTGCCTTGGGGGGAAAACTCCATGGCACCCCCTGCCCTGCTGTCTGCCTCCCTCTCAGACCCAGATCTGGGGATGCCCCCACCTGGGACCAGTGATATTGGGGCTGCCCAGCACCGGGGAGGCCAAGCTGGGTGTTGGGGCTGTTATCTCATGGAAGTGATGGCCAGCATGGCTTGCTGTTGCACCATGGTACCCAGGTGGTCAGTGGGCTCCTCTTGCAGCAGCACCTGGGGAGCACAGCAGGGTGGGATGGGTCAGGACAGGGCAGTCTCCTTTGCCCAGCAAGGGCCTGGGGGATGACAGAGCCCCGGTGACCCCATCCTGGCACCCTCTCCCCACCCAGCACTCAGTGGCCCGAAGCCCTGGGGCAGGAAGGGCTGTGCCCACCACAGAGCCACAGGTTGGCCGAGGGACCTGCAAACGTCGTTGGGTCTAAGCCTCAGCTCCAGCCAGACCACCCATGTGGCTTTGGAGCATTTCCAAGGATGGAGACCTAGAGCAGTGCTCGTCTGCAAGCCCCTGCTCAGCTGAGTCCTCTCCAGCCCCCAGGGCTGTGCCACTGCCCCTGCCTCTGCCTCTGCCTCAGCCTGACTGTGGTCCCCTCACCTCAGTGGTCTCCACCAGCTCCATCTGGAAGAAGTAAAGCATGTGCTACACAGTGGAGTCCACGTGGGTTGTGCATCAGATGGTGCAGATGGAGGCCAGAAACCTCAGCTTTTGGGCCTCTTGCTGCCAGCCAGGGAGGGGACAGACAGAGTATCAGGGGGGAGAGACAGCTAAGGGGGACACCCAGCACAGCCCCCAGCAACTTCTGAGCACAGGATTGGGGCAGAAAGACTGTCCAGGAGACACGGGTGCAACCTCATAGAAGTGGCCACATATACCTTTGGTCTGCTCTTGAGGAAGGCTTGGATGATGTTCAGGGTCTTCTTCCTCCCTGGGCACAGCCAAGGCAGAGCAGCATGGATGTGGCCGAGAGAGCAGATAGGGCTGGGGGGCAGGAAGGGGGGAAAACCTGAGCCCTCTGCCCAGCTCCTAGGGACATCACCAGCCCTGGCTCAAGGCTCGGACACTGGTGTTCTCTGTGCACCCCAGGGGAGAGGGCACGATGCTGGAGGGCAGCATGGGGAGGGGGTCCCTGGCATGCCTGGGTGAGGGACATGCTGGCACCCAGGGGCACGGGGTCCCTGTCCCAGTGATGCTGAGGGGCTGCCTCCCTGGCTGCCGCGCTGCAGGAGCCCCGATGTCTGCCTGGCTGGGGGTGCGGGCCTGGGTCGGGGCAGGGCACAGCAGGCAGCCCCTGACAAAGCACCCGCACACTCACCCGCCCGCAGCGCCTGGACCTTGCACAGCCCATCAGGCTTCGGCCCGGAGCTGGGAGCCTGAGCAGCTCTGTCCTTCTCCTCCCAGGCCCACCTGGGGTGGCCTTGGGGTCTCTGCACCATCTTGCAGGAGGGAGGAATGGGGTGCAGGGGACCCCACACCACCCGGGGCTGCCCTGCCAGGGGCGGTGGGGCCGAGGTGGCTGTGCTGGGGGGCCCTTGTTCCCACCCTGTCCCAACACCATCGCCCCAGACGGTATGGGCAGGGCTGGGTGACACGGAGTGTCACAAGCTGCCCCAATGTCACCCTCCTATGGCCCCTGACCCCTCCTCCCCAGGACCCCTCCTGCTGCTCCAGAGCCCGACGGATCCCTCCTGGCCCCGGGGGGACAGGACCGGCCCCCTCCTCCTCCTCCCGCTCTGGGGCTGGGGTTCAGCCCTGCGGGGCCACCCCCCTTGTCGCAGGGACCCCTCTGTCC